GATCATCAGCTGACACCATACACAAAAATAAACTCAAGATGGATAAAAGACTTAAATATAAGTCGCAACACCATCAAAGTCCTCGAGGAGAACATTGGCAGGAAACTCTCAGATATCCCACGCAGCAATTTTTTCACTGATATGTCTCCTAAAGCAAGGGACATAAAGGAAAGAATAAACAAGTGGGACCTCATAAAAATAAGAAGCTTCTGCACGGCGAAAGAAAACATCAGCAAAATGAAAAGGGAGCCAACCATTTGGGAAAATATATTTGCTAATGATACATCAGATAGAGGTTTGATCTCCAAGATATACAAAGAACTCACTCGACTTTACTCCAAGAAGACAAACGATCCAATCAAAAAATGGGCAAAGGACCTGGGCAGATGCTTTTCTAAGGAGGAGATACAGAGGGCCCAGAGGCATTTGAAAGGATGCTCAGCATCACTAGCCATCAGAGAAATGCAGATCAAAACCACCATGAGGTACCACCTCACACCGGTCAGAATGGCCATCATAAACAGATCCACAAACAACAGGTGCTGGCGAGGCTGTGGAGAAAAGGGAACCCTAGTCCACTGTTGGTGGGAATGCAGACTGGTGCAGCCACTATGGAAAGCAGTGTGGAATTTCCTCAGAAAGCTGAAAATGGAACTGCCTTTTGATCCAGCGATTCCCCTGCTGGGACTATACCCTGAGAACACCAAAACGCCAATACAAAAGAACCTATGCACCCCAATGTTCATAGCAGCACAATTTACAATAGCCAAGCGTTGGAAGCAACCTAAATGCCCATCAGTAGATGACTGGATCAAAAAATTATGGTACATATACACAATGGAATACTACGCAGCAGAAAGAAAAAAGAAGTACTAAACTTTGCGACAGCATGGATGGAACTGGAGAGCATCATGCTAAGCGAAATAAGCCAGGGGGCGAAAGACAAATACCATATGATCTCACCTATAAGCGGAACCTAACCAACAATGCAAAGAAGCAAGGAAAATATGGCCAGCAACACTGAAAGGAAAAGAAATCAACAGAGACAAGAGGGAAGGGGGGGGGCAGGGAAAGGGAAGGGAAGGGGAAAGTCAAGGAACATCTAGCAAGGACTCATGGACAAAACCAAAGGGGAAGAGCTGAGGGAGGGCAGGTGGGAGGGGGCAAGGAAAAGAGGTGGGGGGAAGGCAGAGACAAATGTATTTAAAAAGTAAATAAATTAATTTAAAAAAAAAACAAAAAAAAACACTTCACCTCCTCATACAACTAGACCAAAAATTACAATTAGACTACAAAACAAATACCACCCAGATTCAACAGGAAACTGAGCTGTATGGGAGTCCAATAAACAAGGATTTAAAGAGGTCACATTTATCCAGACGGGTAGGAGGGGTGGAGAGGCACTGAGAGGTGGCAGAATGGACAGTCCGATATTCATGTGGTGGATAAAAATCTGGAGGAATCCCTTGGGAGTGAGGGATCCCAGCCCCACACAACACCACCCAGCCCAGGGTTCCAGTGCCAGGAAGGTAAGTCCCTGTACCTTCTGGCTGTAAAAATGAGTGGGGGCTGGGGCAGCAGAAGAAACTTCAGGATGCTCACAAGACCCCTCTTAAAGGGCCTGCAAAGGACTCAGGAGTTACACAGACCCAGCCCCTCTAGAATTCAGCACCAGGGCAACAGCTGGAACGGCACAAGTGATATATGAGGAGGAAGAGAAGTAACTGGCAACAGGGGGAGTGCCAGGAGCCAGCTTACTTTTGGGCAAATCTCAAAAGACCAGGCAGCTGCACTGCACCCTCCTTGGGGCACAGAGCCACAAAATGGTGAAACAGGTTTCCCTGTCCAGGATTATCTAAGAGTCTACCCCACACAATTTACAGGTGCCCATTCTACAACAGGCCACATTACTATGACAGGGAGTCAAGCAGCTCTACCTCATACACAGAAACAAACACAGGGAGGCTGCCAAATTGAGGAGAGAAAAGAATATGGCCCAAATGAAAGAACAGAACAAAACTCCAGAAAAAGAACAAAATGAAATGGGTAAAAGCAAACTATCAGGTGCAGAGTTCAAAACATTGGTTATCAGAATGCTCAAAGAACCCACTGGGTATGGCAAATATCATAAAAAGGTCCAGGCAGAAATGAGCATCGCATTAAGTGAAATAAAGAAAAATCTACAGGAAACCAAAGTGGAGGAGATGAAGCCAAGAGTTAAATCAATGATTTGGAACATAAGGAAGAGAAAAGCAGTTAATCAGAACAGCAAGAAGAAAAAAGAATTCAAAAAAACAAGGATAGAATAAGAAGCTTCTTGGATATCTCTAACTTACCAACATCTGAATCGTAGGGCAGCCAGAAAGAGAAGAGGAAGAGCAGGAAATTGAAAACTTATCTGAAAAAATAATCAAAGGAAACTTTCCTAATTTGGTGCAGTGAATAGACATACAAGTACAGGATGCACAGAGAGTTCCAAACAAGATGGACACAAAGAGGACCGTCCCAGGACACATCATAATTAAAATGCCAAAGGTTAAAGATAAAGAGAGACTCTTAAAAATGGCAAAAGCAAAGCAGATAGTTACCTACAAGGGAGTTTCCATAAGACCATCAGCTGATTTCTCAAAATAAACTGCTGGCTAGAAGGGACTGGCAAGAAGTATTCAAAGTGATGAAAAGCAGGGACCTACAACCTAGATTAATCTATCCAGCAAAGCTATCATTTAGAATTGAAGGGCAGACAAGGCAAAACTAAGGAGTTCATCATCACCAAGCCATTCTTACATGAAATGTTAAAGGGAACTATATAAGAAAAAGGTCAAAACTATGAACATTAAAATGGCAATAAATTCACAACTATCAACAACAGAAACTAAAAAACAAACTAAGCAAACAAGCAGAACAGGAACAGAACCACAGATATAGAGAATATTTGGAAGGTTATCAGTTGGCGGGGAGGGGATGAATGGGGGAGAAGGTGCAGGGATTAAGAAGTACAATTGGTAAGTACAAAATAGGGGGATATTAAGGACAATATAGGAAATGGAGAACCTACAGAACTTATATGCATGAACCACAGATATGAAGTAAGGGGTTGTTGCTGGAGGGAATGGGGGTACCTAATGGTTGGGGAGCAAAGGAGAAAAATTGGGACAACTGTAATAGCATAATCAATAAAATATGTTTTTGAAAAATCAAATGCTCCTTGAAATATTTATTTCAAGTAATTCCTGTGCTGTATTAATTTGTTTGAAGAACTATGATTTATTATTAAACCATCAAAATTATAAGCTGATAAAACATATGGTAACTTTTTAAAACAAATGATATATAAAGAAAAGAAATCCTACTTATATGGAGAGGAATTCATAAATTGTTAAAATGTTGAATGAAGAATTTAAGAAAACCCACCAGCACCAAATTTATTACCAGATTAAAGTTTTTCTGTGACTTGTTTATTGTCCTTATTTTTATATAAAATGCATTCAGTTTACAAATGGAGATTTTAGCTAAAATGTTTTTTTAATGCTTTCCCAAGGACTTTTTTTTCATTGCTTTTAGAGACAGAGGAAGGGACAGAGAGAAACAATGATCAGTTGCCTCCCACATGCTCCTGGGACAGGCTATCATACACACTGGACCAGGGATCAGGGATTGAACCTGCAACCTAGGTATGTGCCCTCACCAGGGATCAAACTCTCAACTTTTCAGTTACAGGACGATGCTCCAACCAACTAAGCCATGCCAGAAAGATCTTAACTAAAATGTTTTAATTGAAATGTGGCTATATAGCAAATAGATTCTTTTAAACAAGGATCATAAACATAGGAGACAAAAATGCATGGAACTGAATTTCTGCCTTCCATCCAACCCTGAATCCTGCCTTTAACAGTATGATTCATGGGCATTTCTTTAATGAATATGATCTGCAGCTCATGATGTTAATCTCACGGGTAAACATTTACCTTCTTCATTATACATAATATAACCTACTTAGACCTTTATCAAAATTTTCCTTCAATCAAGTATTTTCTATTTGTATAAACTCATTGGGAAAAAAATGCTCTCTTTTGCCGAAGTGATCTTAGTGATTTTAGAAAAGTTATTTTGGGACATTAGTCAATCCCTTATCCAAGCAAATCTCTATTTTAATCCAGTTTATTAAAATGTCATTATTGATTATTAAAATAAAGGCTTATTATTAGGGACTATCTAAAATGCTAGTTTCTAGGCACTCTAATCACTACTGGCTAATGTAAACTGTACAGATTATCTATATGCTAATATTTAAAGTGGAATTAACTTTAATTTTGTTGCTATGTGTAATTCTCTTTCATTGAAAAAAAATTGGTGGCTGTCCAGTGTAGCTGCCTATGATGAATGGTGTCTTTGCATAAACTATCATGCCAGCTAATAATCCATGAGCTATAGAAGAAACATCACTGTTCACCCAGTGATAGCCACTAAAAAGGGTAAGAAGTTAGCCCTGGCCAAAAAGTGTGGCTTGGTTGGTTGGAGCATCGACCCACAGCTGAAAGGTTGTAGGTTTGATTCCCAGTTGGGGTACGTGCCTGGGTTGTGGGTCCCGGGTCCCAGTGCATAACATCCACAGGCTAGGCATGTACAGAAGAAGCAACAATTGATGCTTCTCTTTCATTTCAGTGTCTCTCTCGCCCTTCTCCTCTCCCTTCCTCTCTCTCTAGGTATAATGAAAAATGCCCTCAAGTGAGGATTAAAAAAAAGGGTAAGAAGTTAAAGACATACTAGGTCAAGCAAATAACTGAAAACAACTTAAGTCAGGAGAAATCCTAAATATATTAAGTGAGGTTATCCCTCCTCAGGCCATTTCACGGATTTGTAGTACATAGAATATATTTCATATAGCATCACATTAAACCCAACCCCACTTAGGTTCAGTATAATTATAAAAATAAGTTATTAATGATTTATACAAACTATGTCAAAGTGGAAAGATTCTTTAAAATATCTGCACGTACCATATTCCATACACCATTATTAATAACTTGGCCTCCAGTTGTGATCTGGGTTGTGTGTTCATTCTTAAACTGAATTTCAAGCTTTCCATCACGAACTGCAATCAGGAACCAAGCTGAGTGGTCAAGAGATTCTGCATACAGTATAACACCTTCTGAATCATATGTTCGGAAATCAAATGTGGCTGAAAATCTAAACAACGGACAAAGAGAGAATTTTAATAGTGAGAATATGGGAGTCTCAATGTATTATTCTTTTTTTCTTGTACTGGCAAAAAGCAGTATATTGAAGGAGTCAACTATTTCTGTCCCTGGAATTAATAAAAGAGAAGGGCAGAATTACACTGTTGGTGCATTATCTCTGGTTCCATGTATATTTAAAATCAAGTTATTATATTTCTTGTTTATTCTTGGAGTCTTTTATCTCAGAGAACAGATACTTCGGTAATTTTTCATCTTTTTTTTGGCATTTGTTTTGGAGGCACTCTTTTAAATGTTGGAATTAATGCGCATGTACCAATTTTAGACATACTGTACCTCTCGTGGAAACTTTTATACACTATATAATCTGATTAAGATTCTTTTTCTTTTTTTTGCTGTGTCTGTAAGTGATTAGTAAAAGATATTACAATTTCATGATTGGTTTATTCATCCAAAAGCATATTTTTGCTATGATTTCATATATATCAGGAAGAAATCACTCACAGAGATTTAAAAAAAATAGCATCTGGATGACTGCAGACATAGTTATGCCTTCATGTGTGGTAAAAAAAGGTAATGTCAAAAAATGTATCTGTTAGCTTGATCTCAAAAGGTCTTCAAAACTCTAACTGCATAAATCACTATATTAGAATACATGGAAAGAAAGCTTAAAAGATATAGTCTAATATTAGCAAACCAAATCCAACAATACATTAAAAGGGTTATATACCATAATCAAGCGGGATTTATTCCAGGGAGGCAAGGATGATCCAATATACACAAATCAACCAACATGATATACCATATTAACAAAACAAAGAATAAAAATCATATATCATTCCAATATATGCAGAAAAAATATTTAACAAAATTCAACATCCATTTATGATAAAAACCTCTCAATAAAGTGAGTATAGAGGGAATACACCTCGACATAATAAAGGCAGTATGACATACTAATCGCTAACAACATACTTGATGGGAAAAATGGTGAAAGCTTTTCCTCTAAGAGAAGGAACAAGACAAGGATGCCCACTTTTACCACTTTCATTCAAGAAAATATTGGAAGTCCTAGCCACAGAAATTAGGCTAGAGGAAGAAAAAAAAGGTATCCAGACCAGAAAGGAAGAAGTAAAAATCATGATTTGCAGATGACATAACACATACAGAAAACCCTAAAGACTCCACCAAAAGAACTGTTATAATAAATGAATTCAACAGAGCTGCAGGATACAAAATCAATGTACAGAAATTGGTTGTGTTTCTATACACTAATAATGAACTATCAGAGAAATGAAGAGAACAATCCCATTTACAGTGGCATTAAAAAGAATAAAATACCAAGGAATTAATTTATCTAAGCAAGTGAATTATCTATGCACTGAAAACTGTAAGACACTGATTTAAAAACAAAACTGAAGATACAAATAAATGGGAAAACATTTTGTGCTCATGAATTATTAGAATATTGTTAAAATATTCATACTACCCAAAGCAATCTACAGATTCAGGGTAATCCTTATAAAAATTCCAATGGCCCCGCCCTCCAGCCACCTGCCTTCATCGGCTGTTAAAGGGCCTGGTCGCTGGCGTCCACCAGGACCCTCCCCCCAGGCCCCGCAGCTCAGCTCCCTTTCCAAGCACAGCCTCAGCCCCCGTGCCTTGTTCTTCTCTCCTTCCTTCCTGCCTCCTGGTCGCTTCTCCAGTCTCACTGGGGCTGGTTTTCTGTATTCTTTCCTCTCTTTCTCCGCCCATTTCTGTCTGTCAGTGTCTCCCTGTGCTTGTCTCTGCCTCTGACTAACCCTCCTCACCCCATGTGTGCTGTCTTTTTCCTAGTCTCTAGCTCTCCCCATTTCTCCCCTCTCCTTCTCACTCTCCCTTGTCTGCTTTTCTGCTTGGCTCGCCCTCCCTCTCTCCGTCACGCCCCCCACCCCAAACTCTCTGTCTGTCTCCCATCCATCAGACCACTCTCCTCTCCATCTCTGTCTGTCCCCCTTCACTCCCCCTCTGCCTTCCTAGTCCATAGTCCTCCCTTTCCCCAATCCACAGAGTCTCTTCCCTTTCACAGGACACTGTCTAGGCCCTTGACCCCAGGCCTGGGCACCCGCAGGGCCAGCTGGGCAGGGGGCACCAACCCCTGATCCCCATGATCTGTTCCCCCAAAACTTCAACCCCATAAAAAATTCCAACGGCATTTTTTTTTGCAGAACTAGAACAAATGATTCTAAAACTTGTATGGAACCAATGAAGACCCCAAATAGCTAAAGCCAGAGGTATCACACCTCCTGATTTCAAACTACACTGCAAAGCTATAGTAATCAAAATGGCATCATATTGGTTAAAAAAAAAAAAGGCACACAATAGAATTGAAATGACAGCCCAGAAATAAACCCGCACATATATGGGCAATTAATTCATGGCAAAGGATTTAAGAACATACAATAGAGAAAGAACAGCCTCTTCAATAAATGGTGGTGCAAAAACTGGACAGCTCCTTGCAAAAGAATGAAGCTATACCACTATATCACATCATATACAAAAATTAACTCAAAATGGATTAAAGATTTGACTATAAGACCTGAAACCATAAAATACATAGAAAACAGGATGTAAGCTACTTGACACGTGTCTTTGCAATGTTTTCATGGATCTAACTCTAAAGGAAAGGAAAAGCACAAATAAAAAAATGGAACTACATCAAACTAAACAGCTTCTCACAGCAAAGGAAACCATTATCAAAATTAAAAGGCAACCTACCAAATTGGAGAAGACATTTACAAACCATACATTCAACAAGGGATTAATATCTAAAATATATAAAGAACTCAGACAACTCAATAACAATAATTTAAAAATGAGCAGAAAATCTGAATAGGCCTTTTTCCAAAGAAGGCATACTGATAGTCATCAGGCACATGAAAAGATGCTCAACTTCACTAATAATTAGAAAAATGCAAATCAAATCTACAATGAGATATAATCTCACACCTATTAGAATGCCTATTATCAAAAAGACAAGAAAGAACATATGTCAGATAAGATGTGGAGAAAAGAGAATCCTCATACATTGTTGATAGTAATGTAAACTGGTGCACTGCTGTGGAAAACAGCATGAAGATTCCTCAAAAAATTAAGAATAGAACTACCATATAATCCAGAATTCCACTGCTGGGTATTTATTCAAAAGATACAAAACATCAATTTGAAAAGATAAATGCACCTCTATGTTCAATGCAGCATTATTTACAATAGCCAAGATATAAAAAACAACCTAAGTGTGCGGCAGATGAATGGATAAAGAAGATGTGGCATACACACACATGCGCACACACAGGACTGCCACCCAGTCATAAAAGGAATGAAATCTTGCCATTTGAGACAAAAAAGAATACAGTTAAATAAGTTAGACAGAGGACTAATACTGCATGAATTTAAAACAAACAAAACACACCAAAACAAAACAAATTCATAGATACAAAGAACAGGTTGGTGGTACCAGAGGGGAAGCTGGTTTGAAGGGTAGGTAAGAAGGGTGAAGGGGGTCAATTGTATGGTGAAGGACAGTAACTGGACTTTTCGTGATCACTCAGTAGTGTAAACATGTATTAAATTATAATATTGTACACCTGAAACTTATAGATGAGGGGGAGACCCCTTAAAAATGGAATTACCTTCTGGAGGGCAGGCCCTTTGTAGTGCAGGCTTACCTGGCTAGGCCACTGTTTGAGAAACCCATCTGTATCACTGTACCAACTGGCGTTGTTATAAGGAGCTGCCTTTGGCTTCAGTGAATTTTTTCGAAGACTCTTTCAACCCTTTGCCCATTTCATGACAGGTGATTTACAAGCACACCTGCCCACAATGCACTGAGTGTTCAGCAGTTTTTGACCAAAATGGGCATGACCTCTGTGCCCCCAACTCCCTATTCAGAGGATCTTACCTGGAGTGAATTTTTTTTGTTTCCCCAGATGAAAAAAGTCCTTAAAAGGAAACATTTTGCTGATGTGGAAGAGGCAGAAACACTAAAAGGCATCAAAATTGACTACTTCAAAAACTGTTTAGAGCAGCAAAAAAAATGTCTTGATATGTGTATTGCAGCAAATGGAGAGTACTTTGAAGGTGACTGAAGTTTAACATGTAAAAATAAATACACAAGTTTTTTTAAATAAATTCCAGGTTTTTTGCCCTCCCTCCCATAATGTTATATACCAATTTTACCTTAAAAAGAAAAAAGATATAGTCCAGCCATGTGTTTTGGGGTATCAGAGCTTTGGCAATGCCTGTTGCTATTAAGACTCTGGACACAGATGTAGTTATTACAAGGCAAAAAAAATCTTCAGGATGCTATATTTTAAAATAACATATATTGATTCAGTGCCCATAAGATGGCAATCAGCAATGAAGTATCTAAGGGACCAGCAAATCGAAATGATCAAAAAAAGACAAGGAATACAAAAGTAGTTGTATAACTATTAGTCATCTGAGTTAAGTTAAAATAAAGATAATTTAAGTTATAAGGTTAGGACTTCTGATAATTGCTAAATAAGGCAAGGAGTCCTATACCTTATTCCCACAAGGAACAGTAATAACAACAGAGGTACCATTTGCAATGCGGCACAGATCTACCTCAAATGGAACAAAAAAAAAGGTGGTAGGATATACTTTTCATTCTTAGAATTTCACAGAAATATTCTAAAGAGGTACATGTGAAGTAAAGTGTGTTAAATGGATAACTACATAGTAGAAATATGAACTCAGATTATTTTATAAAATAATTTTTCTTAGAAAAAGTACTTCTCTTTTTTTTCATAATCATCATATTTGCTGCTGCGAAGCATGTGTTATCTTGCCAAAGCCTAAATCTGTGTATGCTCTGAATCTGCCATAATTACTCTACAATGGAGATAGTTTCTGTCTCTCTGTAAAATCATGCCGAACCAGTAATTCAGAGTCATGTTCTGAATGTTTTCTTTCTGAAATACATCAACATACTAATTCATTACATTGGGGAGCAATTCATTGTTGTTTTTTTTTCAGAAGTACTGAAAAAAAATGATTTTGTTAACTTTTGGGTAGAATAGTTGATCATGGGAAACAGCTGAAAGTAATTGCAAAAACAGGAAAAGAACAAAAAAGCACTAACTGTTCTTTTTGTTGGTTACACAGGTGGCAGTTCATAAAATTCATCAAGCTGTACATTTAAGCCATGTACCTTTGCACATATATTATACCACAAGAGAAAATTTAAACTAAGTAATTAACTAAATAAATAAACACAACTGGGAAAAATAATTATTTGGCCAATTTGATCCAATGGTAAAGTCCAAGCTATTGTGAACTGTGTCTAAGAAATGAATACCCCTGAACATGCCTGGAAATACTAATTATTTTTTCCTTTCTCATTTTCATTATTCACATAGCAAGGAACTGTTATCTCCAACCTATCACTAGATGATATTATTTGCTCTGAGATGTTAAAGGGGAAAACCAGGTCGTAGCAGAAAATGGAGTGTTGAAGAAGCACAATTATATCAGTGAATCTTAGAATAAATTTCAATGATTCTTAATCATTTCAATGATTCTTAAAATTTCTTTGAATTCACATTTAATGAAAAATTGCTCATACATATAAAAAATTAAATTCTAAATATGCTACCTTATTTAATTAAAATATTTTAAAATTTGAACTTCATAGTCACTCTCAAACATATTTCCCTTTACATTATTCCAACTCCAATTTCTTTTTTCAAATAGTGTATGACTGAGAAAATTTGATAATTAAGGTAGAATCATGACTCAAAAACATAAGCTACTACTTTCTCTCTAATGTCACCTTAACTACAGGAATAACAGATAAAGTACTCAGAGAGTCTAATAAAATCATGTGATTCATTTCTTTAATTGCACTTAAGCAATTTTATGAATTTTCCTTAATAAGTATGAATATAGCCATATTAAAAGGCAATATTTTGAGACTTCTCTTATTATTTAATTTTTAAAACATATATAAAAAACAGTAAAAGTTTTACACATACACTAAATCTACTTTCCCAGCTTCTTAGTAAATGTGTATTTATTAAAAGGAAGAATGAGGGAATGAGGGAAATATGGTCACTGGGGAAGGCTGGCCTAGAACGACCCAAGTTGGTTCTAGCATGAAAACTACACGTGTGAAGGAGTGAATTAACTGTATGGCTCTCCATGTCATCTGATTGATAATATCTAAATTATCTGATTTACAATGCAACTTCATAAATTTCAAACTTTTTCAGTCCCTTCCTTCTTCTGTCCTGACCTGCTTACCTCTAGAAATTGTCACTGACATTGGTATCTCACCTGATGACATCTGGTAAGCGAAATCTTAGATATAAAACAACCCCTACAAACTGCTCTGCCAAGTAAAGTAGTTCATAATTTTTGTCAAGGTTCAAGGGAAGGCACACTGGAACAGCCTGGAGAAAAGAAAAGAAAACAAACAAAATGCATAATTTGCTCCTTGACGTTTTTGTCAGATTATGCATCCTTTTTTTGGGTGTTAGTGTTCTTGTCAAATATATCCTCTGTGATACACTAAAATAAATTTAAAATACCTTAGTAATAATAAAGCACTATCTTTTACTTTCTTTTAGAGTCCATTGGTATAATCTCCAAGCACACATGTGTTTTAAAATCTTGTCCAATGCGTGTGGCTTCAAATTTCTATCTTTAATATTTCCTTTGTAAATCACAATCCAAAACACAGACTTTTTCCTTTAGTAACAATATGTAACACCTTATTTCACTGATACAGTTATCATACCTTCCATGAATTATTTCTGAAAATTATCTTTATTTGGAGTCATAAATAGGTGAGAAAATTAATGTACCAATAAATGGTACCTCATTTATTCACTCATTCCTTATTAAGCAAAAATTTTCTGAGCAGAAATTGTGCTATCCAGACAGGAAAGGGAATATTGAAAAACTTAGATGGAATAAATATAAATAAGATATTACTGTAGTCTCCAAGGAAGCTACCAAAAAGTGATTTAGAGTCATTAAATCTGGAATCAAGTAATTTTTTTTGAAAAATAAAAATAAACATTAAAATGGAGAGTCTTTTAAGGATAAATTCTTGGCATATATATGGCTATTTTGCATGGAATTGTGTACATAGCACTGTATTAAATCTAGGTCCAGAAATAACACTTCATCTCCTCTTAGGATTTTAACAACCCTATTCAAAGGTAGATGGTGATGCGTAACTACAACAAATACGCAAATTATAATAGTAAATTATGAAACAGATGTTCACGCAGCATGGCATTTCAAGTAAGTACTTCCAAAGTTAGTACATAGGCCAACTATCTCACCTTACCATCCTCTACCAAGTAGGTAGCATAAAACTAAATATTATGTTTTTGGGGACATAAAACAACTTTGTCTTTATAATAAAGAAGTAATTCATTATTAAGGATTTTGTCTTTTTACTGTTTGCCTCATGACCATATAAAATTTCACCTTCACTTGTAAAAAGTAAAAGAGACATTAAGAATTAGACTAACACATGATCCTCGTTCAGGAAAAAAAAAAAAATAAGCTTCAGAGGTTGATCTATTTATTTCAGTAAAGGAAAAACTAGAATCTATCCCCAACATTCAATTTCTGGGTCAGTTGTTTGTGAAATCTGAGTAACTAAAAGCAAGCTTAATAAATACAGATTAACAAAATTAGCCTCTAAGAATTTTTATATACTTAAGCCCCTCCAAATCTTCTAGTCTGACGAAGTTGTTTCCACCTGAGATTTTATGAGCACTCTTGCAAGTACTAACATGCCTAAGGTGTGATCAAACTTGTCATAATGGTGAATAAAGAAAAGTAGAAATGGGAACTGTTTTCACTAATGTTTCTATGCAGGATTTTTTTTTTCCTCACAAAGAGAAGCATAAAGCTCAGCTTTTCTTAAGTTTCTTAAATCAGCATATATTTTGTATTTTGTAAAATTACATGCTGTACAGATGAGCCTCTCTGAACTGTGACCCAGCAGCTTTTCTTCTTACTCAGGTAGTAATTATTTCCAACTGTTTACTACTTTACACGACCATAATTAGTAAAGAGATTGTGACTCTCAGCCTAAATGGAGCTACAGTGGTAACTGTAGAACATCTGCATTTTCCTGAAAAGCACCTGGACTCTTATTTTAGAAAAGAGATGGGATGTTTAGCATTGCAAAATATTACCTCACAATTTCTCTGATCTGGTGCAAGTACGAATCCTTTCCTCCCATCACAGTAACAAGAATAACCTCCAGGGTAATTGACACAAAGTTGAGCACACATGTTGTTAGAGCATTCATCCACATCTGGGGTAAAAGAGAACATAAATCTTAATATCTCCTAAACGCTCAATCCAACAGAAGGAGAAGTATCCTGATTTTAATTTGAGATATCAGTAATAATAGATCCTTAGTGAAATAGATCTCTATGATACCAAATTACATTTAAACACTTCACATGAAAATGTAAATGAATCACAGGTGTAATTTCTACTTATTTACAAACCTGAAACAATGAATTTAATGTATAAATTCATTAATAAATAATTAACAAAAATACAAGTTTACTAATTTTCTTACTTTAAATTTGAAGGAAAAAGGACTGAGTCTCAAGTTAGTTGTCATTTCTGATTATATCATTGCATTGAGACTACCTCCCAATTCTTTTCTTCAAAGAAAAGAAAGGGAAGGAAGAGAAGAAGGGGAGAGGAGGATAGGAAGATCCCGTTTAACTGAAAGTCAACATAACTGAAGATTAAATGACAATATCAAAACCATTTGACTTTTCGTAGTGCAGTGATTAAATGGTGGCAATAAATTTAAGGATATACCTTTATTTCTTAACTTATCTTTAAAATAAAAAAACAAAAACTTCACTGTGCTACATTATCTCCCATATTATGAAATCTTCAATGTAGTTCCTATTCCCACTCGATATTTTGAGAAAAATCATTCTTGAAAAGTTGTGACAAGAAACTTCAGCTAAAGTCCACTTCAGAGCTACTAAACTTTTCAATGAATGCAGCCAATTAGATTTTTGAAAATTCCCAAATTCCTAAGTGCTATAGTAACACAAATATGTTACTATAAATCATGTTATGATTTAAAATAGAACCTCAAAATTAGTGATCCCTCAATACCAGTAAAATCGAATGTTACCTGATTAAAGTAATAAAACATTATATGTCATATAAATCTTTTTTTTAAATCTGTCATTTGTTGAATAAAATTACAATAGAGATGATAAAGTTGACTAATGACAGATCTACCAATGCTTAGGAAACACCACAGTAACTGCTATCTGGAGTGGTGCCAGTGCGGAAACCGTGTGTGTGTGGAGAGGGTGGTGGTATTTTTGGTGAGTGCATGAGCAGGTAAGGCCTCAAAATCGCAAGGGGAGTATATACAATTGAAAAACCCTATTCTAAAATTATTATTAACTTAGGCAAATTCATGGAGACAGAAAGCAGATTAGAGGTTACCAGGGTTTGGAAGAGGAAGAAAGAGCAATTATTGTTAACGGTTGCAAAATTCTGTTTGGGATGGTGAAAAAGTTTTGGAACAGATAATGGTAATTGTTGAATGACCATGTAAAATACAATTGATGTCACGGAACTGCACACGTAAAAATGGTTAAACAGCCACACTGTATCTCATAGGTAGTTGGCCACAATAGAAAAATTGCTATTTATTTTATTAGTTTTAATCATGGTATTAAATTCATTTTGAAATTTTAAAAAATTTAAAAGAGGATGTGAGATCATTTGTAAATATTCATGATAAAAAAAAATAATCCCCTAATACATACATCCAGGCTGCCTGAGGCACACATGCAGCACCACTGCAGCTGAATGAAATACCACCAAGTCCAAGGGCTTCCCTAATCCACAGGCGCTGACAGTACTGATCAGTGCTTCTCTCATTTCTAGAGCTATTATCATTTGGTTATGATTTATTTGTCTTTTCTATGTATTTAATTATAACAGAACATTGTCATTTCCTATTTTCACACAGAAAATCATTGTTAATATGAAATTAAAGGTTTCTAGCCACCTTGTTGTAAATAATGCCCACGTGATTTTTAAACTTGTCTTTTAGTATATGTGTGTTATTCCTTCCAGCTTGAAATTCTTTTTATCTTTGAATATTATTTAAATGATGTAAAAATGTGTTTATTTTGCTTTTCTCATACATGGGAGGTCTCTAATCCATATTTAGCTTAGAGAACCAATCAGAGCACATAACACTAAACCTAATGGTCACATGTGTCTTACATATACTTTTACTCTGGAAGGGAGCCAATGGTTACTCAACTGACCAAAATGTAAGATGGATTTTACCATCTTAGAAAATCTAATTGTTGATGTCAAGCAGAATCAATGCTTCCAGTATCGAATGAGGGTTCAAACCCACTCTTTCCACCATCAACCATGACACCACCACAACTCTACCTTCACAAGACTTTGATGTGGGATTGTATCTGTAACCTTCAGCACATTCACATTCAAAGTCTCCTGGGATGTTCTTGCACACAGCTGTGCCACAAATGCCAGGTTTCACAGAGCATTCATCCACATCTATAAATGAAATCAATATGTTAAAGAACATTCTTCTTATACCAGAACATGCTAGCAAAGAACCCTTGATCTGTGTTTCCTGGATCTGGTTTAATATATGAAATAAGACAACAGAGTGGCCTGGGAATAATAAAATATTAAATCTATCACCATGTTTTTGTTCACTAAATATATCTTTATGCAAATACAAAAAATCTGATTGATGTTTGCAATGTTCCTGTGTAGTTATATAAAAAAAAAATAAGCCCTGGCTGGTGTGACTCCATGGACTGAGCGCTGGACTGCAAAGCAAAGGGTAGCCGGTTTGATTCCCAGTCAGGGCACATGGCTGGGTTGCAGGCCAGGTGCCTGGCAGGGGGCGCACAAGAAGCAATCACACACTGATGTTTCTCTCCCTCTTTCCTTCCCTCCCCATCTCTAAAAATAAATAAAAATTTAAAAATATATTTAAAAAAATAGGACTTTAGTTATTGTCTTATCTACCAGGTTACAGTATAAAAATAAATAGGATAAAGGATTTATCCTATTATTAATATGTATTCCTAAATACATGTTACTGAATTATGGTCTTAAAGGTATATTCACTCTGTATTATCACAAATATAAAAAATGAAAATGAGATGGCTTGTCAGTCTTATGTTTTTTTCCCTTGGAAATGGACAATAGCTAGATCTGCATACCATTATTGTTGCCTAAAATATTCAATAATGATTCAAATTTAAAATGAGATTGGCTGGGGGAGGCTGTTGGGCTGGGTGGAAGAGAGAAAAGGGGAAAAAATTGGGAAAACTATAATAGAATAACAGTAAAAAATTAAAAATAAAATAAAATGAGATTGAGTAAGGTCTCAAAGTATTTATAAACCTGCTGTTAATGCAATACAAATTTTAGTGCTAAATTAATATTCCTGAAATTTCAGATGCACTTACTACATTACATAGTAGATAGAGATGGAGACAAAATATTGGTTGCAATTAGTTACTAGATAAGCACCTATAAAAAAACAAATGACAGAAATAGTTCAATGGACATCTAATTATAAGTGAACTTTTCTCATTTGTACTCTCTGAAGAAGGTTAAATTAAAATGAAAAATATATTTTCTACTCTAAAAAGTTAGGAGTTCAATTTTTCCACAGAATAGCCAAAATTTCAGACATTACCTTATTTTAAATGACATGCACAAAAATAGTAGAATCAATCCCTTGTGGTAAGGGAATTTTTCTGTATTTTGACTGGATCAGTGTCAGTATCCTGGATGTGATAATGTACTATAGTTGTGTAAAATGTTACTATTGGGAAACACTGGGTAAAGGGTGTATGGGATCTCTTTTTATTATTTCTTACAACAGCATGTGAATCTACAATTACTTCAAAATTAAATAATTAATATTTTTAAAAGAACGTAAAAACATAGGCCTAAATTATTTGGTCTGAGAAATAATGGAAGAAATTGTTTAAATCATATGAGTTCAGGTTAAAGCACATTGATTTTACAACTCTACACTGAAATTTAATGACTCATGAAAAGTTTCATTCTTGAATTTTTACACATTTACTGGCAACTTGATCCAAGCATATTCACATGTTGACAAAGGCCTTAATGTAATAGTTGTATACATATTCTTTTAGTAGTTATGTACTGTATTCCTTAGATATCATGTATAAAAAGCTATGCAAATGAAGACCATAGATTCTGGTCATCAGGGACATTCTTATTTATGAGTACTTTTTGTAATAATTTACATACACATGTATAAATTCAGTGTATAAGAATTAAATGACTTTTAATTACAAATATAAATCACAAACTCTTCAGGAGGTCAGACTAATTAAGTTTTTAAGTATAGACGTATGAGTGGGTATTATTTGTTTATGGCATGCTCATGGCATCCTGCATTGTGATGGTTTTCTATAACCGGCATTCTAATGGCATTGGTATTCTAAGTTTCTAACCTCAAACAGACTTTCAAAAAGGCAAACAAGAAAGATATATGGCCACAAACTAGGTATGTGTTTAGAAGAAACTGTTACTTAATACAGTTCACTTTAGTCATTTAACCGTAATTTAAATAATATTATACTAAAATATAATATACTAAACACTACAGTGTAATGAAGGACAGACCATTCCTTGATTATTTAATTTGGTGGATCTACCAAAGTAGATATGAATGGAGTTGAACACGAAAACTTTACATTTTAATTTACTAAATTTTTTTTTTACCTTGTTGCAAGAAGAACAGGATGAGGGGGAGGAAGAGGAGGAGGAGGAGGAGAAGGGGGGGGGAGGAGGAGGAGGAGGGGGAGGAGGAGGAAGAGGTAACCTGGGAGAAGGAGGAGGAAAAGAAAGCCAGGGAACGAGGGAGCAAGGGAGGGAGGGAAGAAAGAAAACTTGCTTCCAGTTTCTAAAGGCAAAATTTAACTTCTGGCTAGAAAATTTCATTTTTAGTCATCCACACACCTAGCATTTATTTATACTTGAACATTTAGTTATGGCAGTTAAAGCAGTCTAACGGAAAAGACATTATGCAGAAAGAAAAAGATCAAAACTTGGGGAAAAGAGAAGAATAAAGAAAAAGAAAGAAATACACTAGTTAAAAAGCTAAATTGACAGGAATTACTTAAGTCTGAAATTTTTCAAAAAATGAATACTTATGAACAATGATGTACTCTTACATGCATAAAAAGAAAGGAAATCAGTTCTTCATTTTTCCAAAAACTATGACAAGGAATTAGGTGCAAGATGAAAGCTTTATATTGGAAGTCAGAAAGGTATTTCTGACAAGGAAATATAAAAGACAATGAAAGAAGTTACTAAGGATTGTGTCGAATTTCTTTGTATAATTGTTTACCTTACTGGAATAAAGGAAATAATATCATAGTGTCTGAAAAAGAAAGCATAAACAACAATTTTTCAAACACTCTAGTATGCAAGGACTTGCACTGAAACTTCACTTTATCACCATATAATGAAATTCTTTATTAAAATATAATGTGTGTAAACACACATACACATGCAATAAGAAAACAAGAAGAGAGGGGGAAAGATGGCAGAGGAGTGAAAGGGAGTCACGCTGACCTCCTCCCAAAACCAAACTGGAATTGCGACTAAATAATGAAGTAATCACCTGGAAAGCAGTGGAGCGATAGGGGGAGAGGAGCCTTGGTGCCGCGGACAGTGGATTCGACTCTCACACATCCCAAAAGGTGAGAAGTGCGGTGGAGGCTCGAGAGGGTGGGCTGGGTGCACACGGGCACTGGCACCAGAGGGACACTGAAACGGCCAGTTAGCGTCCCCCCGAGAAGAACGGGATCTGAATCATAAACAGGAACCCCTAAACTACAGCAGCTAAAGCCGAGAAAATACAGACAAAACGCAACCCCAAAAAGCTTAGGGGCGCTCTCTGCCAGAGACAGGTGGCTGGGGATGCAAAAAGACATTTAAAGGGCAAACGCAAAAGTTGCAGCGGCAGCCACCCTCCTTGATCGCTGGGTACAGGCGGCAGCAGGGTGGGCTGGTGCCTGGGAAAAGACTGGTGAGAAAAACTTTGTGAAGAGAACTGACACGGCAGCCGGTGGAGCCCGGGTGATAACGCACTTCCCACTCTGCAGCTCCCATCTCGCTCAGGCATAAGGGAATCAATTAACCCGCCTTTTGTGCACTCCGCGCACAGCTTGTACGCGTGTGAGCTGCGGGGTTGAGTGCAGACTGGCTGGGAGTGCCTTGAGGAGAGACTGGAGACGGAGGCGTTGGGGAAAGAACGGGAGGAGGAACCGGGGAATCCCGACTCCCTCCCCGTTCAGTAGTCTCCACTGTGGGCTGGAAAGGCGCGACCCCAAAGAGGCAGAAGCCGGGCACGCATGAACCAGACTGCCTGCGATTGAAACGCAGTCCGCACAGGGGTTGGATCCTTGGCCGAAGGGGTCACAGAACTGCCCAGAGGCCCCTGAGGGGAGACTAGAAACGGAGGCATTGGGGAAAGAACGGGAGGAGGAACCAGGAAGTCCCGACTCCTTCTCCTTGCCAAAGTCTCCATTGCGTGGGAAGAGGCCACACCCCCAAAGAGCCAAAAGCAGAAAAGCAAACATAGACACCCCCAAAACACCCAGAGCAGGCGCGCACACTTGCGCCCAGTGACCGGCGAGGGTTGGCGAGCGTGTGTGTGACCCACGCAGGCTAGCGAACGCTTGCACCTGCCGGCAAGGCCTCACACAGACTGACACCCATACGGCCTGCGAGGGATTGTACAGAGGGGCAAGGGCAGGCGTAAACTGACCTACCCGCCGCGATTGCGGAGAGGCCCACAAAATAAGTAGAGCTACCCAGAGTCCCTGGAGGAGAGACCAGAAACAGGATTAACCGGAGAGCCCTAGAGCTGATTACCTCCCATTTCCGTAGTCCCCATTTGGCAAGGGCAAGCAACGCACCCTAGAGCCAAAAGCGGGGAAAACACACAATAGAAGACCCTAAACTGACCAGTGCCGCGAAGCTCGCGTGCCAGGGAGGCCAGATGAGTACGGGAGGTCGCGAATAAGCCCCCTGGTCTGGGGCAAACACAGGCGAGCCCAGGCAGGTGGGGGACCCTGCCGCACTGGGAACGCGCTCAAAGAGCCCGCGTGAGAGCGCAGAGAGATCCCAAAAAATAGCCCAGCCCTGACCGAAGGGGTCACAGAGCTGCTCCAAGCAGGAGTCAGACACAGGCATTAGACTCCTGAAAGGCTCAAACAAACAACCCAAGGCCCAATAGGGTCAACAACTGACATCATCAGAGGCAAGCCCAGAAAGAAAAGTAAAGGACAAAAATACTTAAGACTCTCACAAAAATGGGAAGAAAAAGAAGTTCCCCTCAAATGAGTGGAAAAGGGGACTCCCCACAGAGAGAGCTAAATGAAATAGAGGCAAGGGAACTCTCAGATATGGAATTCAAAACAATGGTTCTAAGGAAGCTCAATGAGCTCAAGCCAACTCCAAGATAACTATGAGAAACTGCAGAGAAA